TTTTTTATTATTATTTAATGAAAACGAACAAAAAGCAAAAGTCTCCTAAGAGAAAGTGAAGTCCGTGGCGGTGAAAACCCAGCTTGCTTTTTGCCAAAATTGCTTTGGTCTTTAATTATTTTGAATACACTGGAATATTCTGGATGAAAAGGTGCTTCTTTGTGGACTAACCAAAACAGCCAAAATTGACCGGAACAACTCAAAAAAAAGAGAAAAAACACTCGGGGTCATCACGAATGGCTCTCACGTTAAACGCCACCACACTTGTTCTGTCCCAAGGCCGACTTCTTCAATTCCTGTGTGGTTTTTTACACAAAACACACACATCTTTTTTTTCGAAATCGGAAGAATTAAATCCAATAATTTGTGAAAAACCATCGTATGCAGAGATGAAAAAGCCCAGAAATTAACGAAAACGATTGACTTGTTGCAAAATTCACCGCTATGTACTCTAATACGACTTTCTGCAAGTACTAGAATTTTTTACAAGTAACCCATCAACACAAGAGAAAACCCAGTCCGAGCACTGTTAAAACAATTACAAATAGTTGTACTTTACCTTGTCTTCCACTCGTGCTTTCCTGTATAAAAAATCTCACGAAGCATAGAATTGGGAGGGCCCGTCAGTGATAATGAGCCGTGCAGTTCAGCAATTTGTTCGGTTTCCCTGCTTAATACACTGCCACTCTGCAATAATGCAATATTTCTGTAGCATCAAAACTAACAACTGAGCATGGAAACACAGAGTATCGAAAGCGATCATTATCGCAGTTTCGCAATAATTCTCAGAAAGGAATCCAATCCCGCCAAGGATGAAGTAGGTGATGAACTGGTCGCGGCCACGGGGTTTTATCAATTCACTTAAATCAGTTCTTAAATAAGCGTTTCAGCCAGGCTTTTTCACTCTGTTGCAGCACAAAACGCATAAAAAAAACAAGCCTGCTTCTCCTCTTCTTCCAAATCAATTGATTTTGAATGCTCGTACGGGAAAGACTTTTCAGGATGCCAACAAGCGATTACACCGTTTTGGCAAACAACCGTCTGAGGTTGGCTGAAACACCACAATCGTCAGAAATAACCACAATTATCACAGGTATACGTCGCTCATCCTCCCACTCCCAGCACTTGTTAATGCAGCACTCCCACTAAGTCATCCGCCCAAAGAACATCACCAAGAAAGATATGCGAAAAAATCTTGCAAGAGTACGCTTTCATGAGTAGTCTTAGAAGGAATCTCAAACAGCATTTATTCACATCCACACACACAAGCTGAGCCCTTTCTCAAAAATCGTTCGGGGCCGGGTGAGAATCGAACCACCCTCTTCATGTCCGGACGCAATGTGTTACCACTACACTACCGAGCCTTTGTACTCCAGGTTCAGCCTGGCAGCACATCTACTGTGTATCTGCCTTTCAAAACAGAACACACCTTTCTTTGCTTCTCTTTTTTCTTCGTGACGGTTTCTTGGCCAACTTTTCGCGGGTTTTCCGTGACATAGGCCACTGGTACATTAGCACTGCCGTTCTCCCCAAGTCGGCTAGATCTGACAGCCTTTACATACCCACGTCGACAAAAATTTGCAATAGCAGTTACTGCGCAGTAAAATTTACCTGAACTGAACAGAATCCTGTACTGTGACCACACTTCGAGCTACTTCCTTTAATCGGGGCACAACGGAGAGCTGCCGCCACGTTATTAACGCGCGTCCACAGATATGGCTCATCCGTTTTTTTCAGTGCAACATCAGAAGCAGCGAGGAGTCACCGACTACAACCAGTTTACTCCCTCAAATATAGAAAGAAAATGATAAAATTGTTGTTTCTAAAAAACAAAAGAATTTCACGCAATTCTTCCTGAAAAACGAACAGTTCCACAAGGGGCCCCCAGAACTGCATGCGT